GATTTGTACATTGTTTCAGTTGGAGAACACGTTAAGTGGACACGTTAAATACTTACGGTGCCGCGATTTAAACTTGAGGATCAGCTTTTTATGTCGATAAACAGCTTATGTTGTTTACGCGGAGATGATGTGTTAAAAAAATGATCATGCCAGGCCACGATTTGGAACTTAAATAAGCGCCCCCTCAATTAAGCGCCCCCATCTTCTCCTAAATTTGAAATAAGCGCCCCGGGCGCTAATCCGCGGATTTACGGTACTCACACCAGAAATCGGGCGAGGTCTCGACTTTGTACTCGCGCACTAAATGGTACTTAGGTATTTGGAGTACTAGTCTCTGAACGTAACACTATTTTGTTGCGGTGCCCAGGCACCACTACTTTGGCACCAAGTGTGACCACAGCCTTTTCAGTTAAATAGTTGAGTGCTTAAGTAGAGTTAGACACCTGAGAGATCAGGCGCGGGAAATGTTCAACAGACCCGTAAATAAAACGACTTTTCTCTTCCATCAACCTGTGCGATTTATTTCTGTACAGCTAAACTAACGGCCTTTAGCAGCATACAATATCATAAAATGTCATGCATATCATGAGATCCCAAAATTGCTTGAGAGGGCTTGATAAGGTCCTCAGGGACATTCCCCTGTTGGTTGAAATAGTCAGGGCATTAATTTTGGTTATAATTAAGATCCCTTGTTAAGAGGAGTAGACTTGAGCAATTAATTAGGATACAGGTTAGCCCTAGACGAACAGAAATTAAACTTCTAAAGGATTATTTCATTGCACGGCTTGACCTCAAGATGGTAAACAAGTATTGCAACTATGTATACGTAGAGATCCCTTGCTAAACTATTAACTACTCAGCTATAAATGATTCCGCAATACAAAAACAAAACGAGCTTTTTAAAGTCAATGATACAGAGATGATGTCTACTAAATTTCAGATCCATGACTCCAACATTCAAGCTACACGAATAATTTGTTTAACTTCAGAGCATGTATGGGAACCCTATACATTACACAGAATTTTTGGGTCCGTTGTACATTATCAGCTAATTTCTTGACTAGTATTCAACCAAAGCAATCAAAAATATTCCGTTTTATTAATATCAGTCAAATAAGAAAACGTTCCAATGAATAACAGAAGAAAAAGTCTTATATTCGAGCTGAACGAATTATTATAATTTTTTTATCATTTAATTTTATCTATTTCAAATAGTGTTTGTGTAATTATTTAGTTACACATTTATTTTTTCTCCACGCCAAGTCATGGCATAGTTCAAGAATACAAACCAACAGAGGAAGGGAAATAATAAGAGTGTTTTCAGGGCCAACCAAACAGACCAAAATCCCAATTTTGGACATTGTACTGAATTCAGTTTCAGGCGTTTCCTCCCATTTATCCTCTTCCCCTCTTGGATCCCGTTAAGAAGGCATGATGCTAATTGGTCTTCACCTACAATAACGTTATTTGAGTTACTGTAGATTTGTATCATATAATTTTAAACGAACCCATAAGAAGCTACCACTCCGTTAATCATAGCATGCGAATACAGGCGCGTAGTCCTCTCTTCCTATCGCTTTGAGTGTTATGTTCGGAGAGAGGTGAGGCGGCAGTATTTGCATGCTACGTTAGGAACAAATCTTTTTTCCGTTGTTGTATGGGTCTCGTATGTATTTACACTGTTTACACTGTACCCTCAACAACAATAACAACAATGCTTTATTTACTCTTGACACTTAATACAAATTGCGAAGAAAAAGTACAGTCGAACTCTCAATGACGGATTTCCTTCCATGCTACCATGTTCTCTACTAAGGTTGGTATTTTTAATTCCAATCTCGCGTTGATTCACATACGTATAATTACTTTGTTTCTATTATTTTAAGCATTGTCCACAGTACGCCGGAGAAAGCGCAGATTTATTTCTGGGGTGAGGCCTACTGTCCACACTAATCCGTCACAAAAACAGAGCTTTTCGAAAACGCCCTTCAAACCGGACGAATGCGAAATTGCCGGGTTTTCGTTGTGGGGTGTAGACGGAAAACATTTTTAAAACGAAGCTTTTCGAAAACGATGGCGTAACGATAATCGTGTGATTTCACTGCCCGAGTTTTCCTCAAACACAAATTTAAAATGGCCGCTACGTGATTGTTGCGTTTTTGAATTCCTTCGGCGTTGTGCGGACGGAAAACATTTGATGNGGGGGGGAGGTTCTCCCAGAAAAATTGGGTGGGGGTGTGCCGCTCGCTTTCCAAAACTCTTACCCTATTTATGACCAAAATCTGCGATTTTCCCTACCCTATTTATGACCTGACCAAAATTCGATACCCTGTTTATGAATACCCTGTTTCAGACCTATCTTATAATTAGTTACCTAGTTCAGACCGATGCTAAAAGGCGTTGTGAAGGGATTTCGCTGATGGTCTTATCGATAATGATGAAAAAGTAGCTTCTTCTAAGAAACATACCCAATTCAAGACTAGAGTGCAAAAACTATACCCTATTTATGACCAAAATGGCCAAAATTGATATACTATTTATGACCAAAACTGCTAAAAAAACCCTACCCTTTGGGGCGGCACATACCTATATAGCCCGGGAGTGAAACCTCTGTTCTCAAATTCCCCCTGTGTAGTGTGGACGGGGCATTAGGCTAGTAACTCTCGACAAACTGAGTCGTTCCTCTGTTGTAGCAAAGTTCAACTATTTAAAGTGGGAACAACAGCAGCTTTTGGAGACAAATTTGGGCTTCCTGCAGGATTTTTTATTGCTTTTTCGTTGATATTTTTGCTCTGCGGTTTTTGCAGCATTTCTAAGAACATACACTATTAATTTTCATATATTTTTATCTAAGAATTTATAGACTAACAAGAAATGTGCAGGGACATTTGAAACTTTGATTAATGTTCCAATGAAGAAAAACATTGTCGTCTTTTATTATAGGTTACTATATTTTTCATTTTATATCTTATTTTATTAATTATTCATTTATTTATTTTACGCAGGACCCATGTTGATAGCAGTTTTTATAACTGAAATGGTCATCCTGCATAAATATGTTTATTTATTTATTATTATTATTATTATTATTATTGTTATTATTATTATTATTATTATTATTATTATTATTACTTAGTAAGGCGGGGGTTAACCTAAAATTCTGTAAAAAATAACCCGTTTTGTTGTTACCGGAATTTGAATCTTAAGGTATTGAAGTTTTATTTTGAGAATTTCTGTTACTTTAAGTTCAAAGCTCGTTTTCTCAAAGCAAGTCATTTTTGCCTTTGAGGAAAGATATTTTGAGAAGGATTTGTCTAATTGAGCTGAAATTTTCAGGATTTGTTGTTCTAAGTAATTTTTGTGTTTTAGGCATACAACTTCTCCATCCAGTGCATTTTGTCGTAGTTATGCATTGAAACTTATGCTGGATTTCCTGTATCAGATTTAACTGGTCACCATTGTATATGTTTTTAACTTTTCAAAAATCTCTGTGCTTAAAACAGTAAGCTATTCGTTTTCTTTTAAAGAAATGTAAAAATTATTCATTGTGGTCAGTTCTTGTAGGTGTTATCATTTCTCAAGTAAGCCCTCGCATTCCCGAGTAAGTAGCAGATTTAATCAGCCGGTTTCTGGTTACAATACAGTTCTAGGGTACAAAAATATTTTTTTCATAATCTTTGGTCTTTAAGCTTTATAAAAATGTCTACTTTGCCATGGTTTGGAATTAAATCTTACCACGAGAACAGTTTGGGAAAATGGTGTGTTTTTAGCTTAATCCCCGCCTTAATGTCTGGCAAAGTTGAGGGGTTCGTACAAAGAGATTGTTAGAATAATTCTGATGATATTACATCGTGGTCTACCTTATTAATTCAAGAATCAAAAATGTCCATCTGCAATGCACATCGAGTTTAACTGACCGTTCTGCCTTTCGTGCCCTGCAAAGGAAATTATGGCAGAAGTGTTAACAACAACCAAATAATAAGATGATAGCAAAAATGTAGTTTTATTTGCAACTGCAAAGTCCTGCTTCTGTCGTATATTTAAATTTACAAAGGACATACCTTTGTGTACACCTACAGGCCCTAAGAACAAAATTGGGCACTGATTTACAGATTTATGGCTCGGGAAGCCATTACCAATGCTCACTAGAAGTCAAGCAAGTATTTATTGCATGCAAGTACTGACTCATTTATCTTCGCCCCATAAAGGCCATCCCTCGCTTACAAGAAATACTTCGTGGGATCTGCAGTGATTGCAATTTGCACTGTTTTTTTTTTTTTTTTTTTTTTTGATAGATGGAACTTTCCAAAAAGAACTACAGCAGATGGTGATCGACAAATTGAGAAAAATAAAGAAGATTGCAATGTTGATATGACTGTATAGATAAGACCTTTATCCAGGTAACGTCTATCACAGGAAAAATGGTGCATGCAGTGAAACTATTCTTATCAGACGTATTAATTCAATCAATAAGTGGTGACTCTTTACCAGGGTTTCAATGGGCTCTAACTGATAGCTGACAATTAGTCAAAATTGTGGCACACGGTCGGTTGAGACATGGCGTGCTTTTTTATCTCATGGCTGAGGTCTGAGATCTGCGGAATTTACTGAGAGCTGAGAAGCAGCAGGCTGAAATTTTAAGTGATAACTGAGAAATCGCCTCAAATTTAGCAGACAAGTGAAGTTTCAACAACCCTTTCTGGCAACTTCCTTATGGCTCTAGCTTCAGTGGCTATAACTTAAGTGGTTAAGTTGAGAGCAGTTGAGTCGTCAAGCTTCATATCAAGTTGTCAAGTTCTGACAGTTGCAATCTTTAATTTCCCCCCACGGATCTTCAGATTCTCGGAAGCCATCAGAATATTGCCAAAAAGAAGTCAAAGAGTAACAAAAACCTTTGAAAAGAAGCAACGGTACAGCGATCTTCACTGTAGTTCACTTCCACTCCAGCAAATATTAGACATTAAGATCTACAAGAACCGTGACAGGAAGTTGGATCGCACCTTTACTCCTTGGAGTTCTTCCTGGTCAGATCAGCTTTCCATGTTTTTAATTTATCCATGAGATGTTTGTCTTGTGGTAGCGTCAAGGCCCATCCTACTTTCAATCCCTTTGAAGGATGTTTATGTCCAAGAATGACATATTCCTTGCCTACCTCGAAGCACGTGTATGTGCTTGCGTTGTCAGAAGTACATTGACCTTGTGACCAGATCTGCGCCCCGTGTGACCGAAACGAGCAGCCATTCTTAAAGATGACTCGAGATACATTGAACCATATAGCATAACCACTGGAAGTTTGATTCATGGACGCAATTCTGCCTTTTATCGCTAGAATAAATTAAGATGGACCGTGTAATAAGTATATTAATCAACATTGCAGTTTATTCCCCCATGACTTAGACNAACACAGATTCGTTTTGCTTGTTTTGGATGGGCCAATTTGATTAGGAGTTTGCTTAAATACAATTATTTTCATCGATATAAACTGGACCATATTGAATTGTTCTTTGCGATGCATTGCTAACGTTCCTAACGAATAGTGTTATTCCCCATTTAATTAAGTAGAAACAAGTTAAAATACTATAGGCAATATTCACTTGAAGGGTTAACTGCAAATCGCTAGATCAAGTGGTCAGATAGTTATTTGAAAGTGAAGCATGTAAATAGAACTCACTTGTAGGATGCATGAAAGCTCTTGGAGTCAGACAGATGCCCTTGTCGTAAACCTCAAGCTTTTCGCACTCAAACTCAGGAAAAGCCTTGAAAGGAAACTTCTCTCCAGTAATGGATTCCACAGCTGCTTTGCAGTCACTCCTCACTTTTTCACAAACTGAGCGGCAAGGGTTTATGGTTTTCTTGATTTCCTGGTCCTCAACACATATGGGAAGATACAGCGAGCAGACAAAGAAGAGCAAATCTTCTGAGCAAACAACTTCGTTGATCCGCTGCGCCAAATCCCACAACGTGCGGTTCACGGAGGATTGTGTGTCGTGCTCAAAGTTGTTCGGCAAACGAGTGCGATTATATGGCAGGGATTTGCACAGGCCGATCTGGATTTCTTCACATTGATGTTGATTTGAAGAAACTGGATTTCCATCGCTGTAGAATGGAGCAACGCACAGCAACAAATATACCACGAATGCGTTCATTTTGGACTCATGATGTCTCATGAATGCCGCACGTCTCTTGTCACGAGCGATACGTGTGTAGCCTTAAAGGTCACGACTTGCATGCGGGTATTATTTTCCTCAGTTATTTAGTGTCATCTAATCGACGAAAAGAGTTGCCAACGTAAACATCTACTTTTCGAAAATCCGCGTTAGTACCAGTGAGCAGAATTTTAATTAGTTAAAACTAATTTGGTGAAATTCTTAAAGACGTTTCTTGAGATTATTCTCAGTTTGAGTTAGGGGATACGAAATCTAAACAGGAAAAGTTATCCATGACTAAGTTAACTCGTTAATTTTTCAGAAAACGTTAATACACCCGCGCAATTCAACAAATTCGTCCTAAGTTTGAACAGATGAGACCAGAGAGGTGATGGTGATATGGAATAAAGTGAAATGATTTCGCCCATTTCGGGCTAAAATTATACCATATTCATTCATTAGCGGAATTCGCTTCAAGCAGTAACGAAACAGAGAAAACTGAGCCCATGTACCGCAGCAGATGCGTAATTAGGAAACAGAGATTTGCAGTTAGGTACGGGTCAGGAATTCACATAAGTATGCATTTCGATGGATCGTCATCTTCTGCCTCATGCATGTGTCATGCATGTATCAAATGGACTAAATTCACAATTGTTTTTCTAACCTGTCAATTTGTTCTTTCCTAGTGTTTTTCTTTATTTCAAAAATTGGAAATACGTGTGGTATAGTTTTATTCCGTGTTTCTCACAGCATAAAAATACAGATTTGTAGAAAATTAAAAATGGCTTAAATCTCTTTAAAGATGGTATCCAACTTTATTATGCTGTAAAGCTGACATTTTAAATTTCCGCTAGCGTGCGTAAAATTGACGTAAGCTGGCTAAAGGCATATTTTTAGTAATTAACTTAAAGCAAAACGTACTTACAATTCGCTTGAAAATGCTAGTCTCTCAAGAAAGCCGTTTAAACTTCAGCATATGCTAATTTAAGTTCGGCTTTAAAAAACATAAAAGTATCTTGAAAATTAGAAGTTTTTATCGACAGCATTAGGCCAGCCTGACACCGCATTAAAGTTAATACTTCTTACTGTGTCGTTCACTTGACCGGATTTATTCATTTTTATTATTTTCATCATTATTGGGAAACACTTTTAATATTTCATATTCATCGAATATTTGATCTCTGGTTAAGTACAAAAGATCTTCACTTTTTTCTCAATGAAGTATAAATCAGTGGTAGGTTGCAAGCTTTAGGATAGAATACAATTTACAATTTTAATTGATAAAAATTGAAAAGACGTTTGTCAGTTGGGTTCTAATCTCATAAAATACGTTTTATAACCGAGCACGACTCTTTTTTCCTCGGATATTATTGTCGTGAGATATTTTTATCCAATTGGTCGCCGGTGATCAATTGGATAAAAATACGTCATGGAAATAACATCTGAGAAAAAATAAGTCGTACTTGGTTATGAAATATACTTTATGAGATTGGAACGCAACCAAAAAACGCCTTTTCAATATTTTTTACACATTCCTTTGCCTTTGTTTTGGGTCTTCGATTTCAAATGATTCCGACTTCTTTTCATCTACTGCCTGTGAAATGAAATGCTTGTGAATGCACGTGAAATCACTGTGTTAACATCCAAAAATTTGACCCACAATACACAAAGTATGATACTGCATGTAGAGCGTTTTCACATGACGTCACGGCAGCCTTATTGGTGTTCCAAAACAATGAAACTGCGGCCATGTTGTTGTCCTAAACCAATCCTGTGGGTACTGGTCAAGTGCGTGAAAACGCTCTATATTCTAGCAGTATCATTAACTCAACGTGTTGTCACGTGACATCTACTTCCTCGTGAGACCCTCCACGGGGAACACGCGTGGGGAGGGGCTGTCTAACCCTCACGCCATCCCTCCTCCCTCCCTTCTCTCCATCTATTTTTACGTACAGTTTTAATTCAAACAAATAAATACTAAATGATTAATAAAGGTCTTTGTTCATAGTTTTAAACAGACGTTGAAACTTGCAAGGTAATCATAGGGTTAAAAACTGTCCCAATAATAAAAACGAACAATACAATCTGTTTGAAATCAGAGACATCTGATCCAGTACAGTCTGTGAAATCAGAGACATCTACTTACAAAGCACTTCTTAAACCTTTCTGTTTTAACCCACGAGACCTGGTAAGGATGCATCCTATCGCGCAGGGTCTTGTTCTTACGTGGTGGGAGAAGATCCTGCAAGAGATGCGAGGGAGTGTCCGCAAGACTATTCCACAGCTTCAAATCCCTTTCTAATGAACAGGGATGGATCTAGGGGAGGATGCAGGGGGTGCGCNCCTCAGATAAAGCCTTCTTCGTATTCCCTTTTAAAATTTGTTTACCTCATCAGTTACGCCATTCCTCAGTGGTGCATGCGCAGCCCCTCCTAAGAAATATCCTGGATCCGCCCCAGGTAAAGGGTGACATTATAAGAGAATTAAAAAGATGATGAAGGTCAGATAAAGTATAACCGGTGTATAAACTATAACCATTAACCATAGACTATAACCATAACTAGCTAAAATGATAATAATAAATAAAGCAGGAAATACAGTAATTAAAAAAACTGCGCAGATCTTCTCCTGGAGTGGATTATTTACTTTAACGGGAAACTCCAGCGGGATATGCGTGGACGGATTAGCTTGCGGTAGCTGTGCCCGCAGTACGAGTGGCAGTCAAAACTGAGTTGTGCTACCGAAATGACACGATAACAGTCTTTTGCTTCGCAGCTACCAATAACTAAAGACAATTCTAAGTTGCTCTGGTTTCTTCTAATGCTTAACTCGAGACATCCGGGTTTAATTGGACGAGGAACAATATATTTTGTTCAAAATGACACAAACATTATCCTACCTGGCGACAGCGATCGAAGAGCGAGTTGCCGAGCGCGGGCGACCCATATTTGGCGCCAAATCAATAGGTTCAAGGCACAAAATGTTGCATATATCCAGTCCTTGAACTCTTCCTTACCCGCGCTCTCCGATATATCGCTGGGAAGGGAAGGGTCAGGGACTGGAATAACCTTTGATATTTTTTCCCTTTTTCTTGAGGTTAATTATGACAATCCTACTTCAAGGCGGTTAACGGCAAACAGTCTAGTTCTGTCCAGGACTGAGATGTGAAAAGAAGTCAATTTCAAATCGTTCTTCAGTGCGATTTTACAAAAACCTCTGTGGTAGAACCAACGTCGTTGAGGAGAATTAAAACGAATTAAAAAGAATAAAAACCTAGACGGGATCAAAATCATACCCTCAAAAAGACTTAACTATTATTACAAGAAAATGTATGTGGTTTGAGTCCATGACCATAAGAGATATCTGCTGGATTTGCCGATTAATAAACCGAGAAGCCGATTTGTGCTCGTTTAACCTGCCGCTTCTTTCCGCTCCCAATACGCTGACCATGGCTTGGTTGTTGTTACTATAACAGCGTTATTCTGTAATTTCTCCTTAATTTAACAAAAACTGTCCAGTTTACTCCGAAGAAGACAATATAAGTTATCAATGCCAGGATGCAACTTCCAGTCATTAGCAGCAAAACAAACCCGCGAGAGATTCGAAAGTTTAATTATGGACTAGTGCACTCATGTTTTTACACATTAAAGCTTTAACAATAATGATGTGTGAATGTGTTTTTGTTCAAACCACTCTTTGCCCATGATTAAAATATAAGTACAAAACTACGATTATTGATTTTTAATACCGATTTTATTTCGCTATATGATAAGCAATCCATATTTTATCGAAAAGAAAACTGATTTCCCTGTTCCTTAGTGAGTAGTCTAAACTGTGTTTCGAAAACAAAATGACAAATGATTGGCAATTGTGACTGTTCTTGGAAACACAGAATAACTTTACCAATTTCTGAACAGTATTTTTGCTAAGTCACCACTTGAAAACTAACAGCAAAGTTTGGAAGTTTTTCAATTGCAAGGGTCCAGGTAATCCACTTTCTTGTTTTCTAGTGCTCACACTCCCATATCGATTGATATAAGAATCTTAGACATGCTATATATACAAAAGAAAATTTTTGATAGATGCTCACTATTTATTAGCGTTTTGTTATCCTCACCTTTTTACGACGAAATTGAAAGACGGGGGAATGATGAGAGGGAGCCATCCATCGGGTCTTTATTGAGAGGACTGGAGAAAATATATACGACGCGCATGCGCAGAGTCCTCATAGGGTACCAACCGATAACTGTATATCTTTTTTTTATTATTTCACTCTAAAAATCGATGGTGGCAATTTGCCTAGATATTACAACAATACTATTAACAATAAAATTAAGTTAATTAGCAATTTTACCAATTACTTTTAATGTTCGCTGGCAAATATCTTGTTGCTTTTGAGAGCTTTGAACAAGAGGATGTATGTTCTAATGTACATAACTTATTGATCAATTTAGAAACTGCTCAAGTAAAAACTTGATTGTACATGATTTCCAAGTTAGATATACGTATATTGGGCATCTTTAAACTTAATTTATTTGGCACAAGCAAATTAAATACACGCGCCAATTTGCATACATATGAATTTTGTTCTTATTTTGACAATCGGCATTTTCCGTTTCTTTCTCGTTTGAATTTTAGTTTGAATGTTCTACGAAACTACTTTACGTTCATTCGACGAGAGATGAAACAACCAAAACTGTCCGACGTTATGATCAGATTATGAAATCATGGAAAGACCAAAGTAGCTTAATTCCCCGATCTAATTACCTGTAATCGTCGGCAAAACATAACTATTTTATTGCAATATTCACGCACGACGGAAAAAATAAATCTTAATATTATTTGAACATTAATGATTATTTAAAGTTGACAGAGTGACCTTGCAGAAGTTCCTGTTGCTACATGGAAGACGTGCTTACAATGTTGTCCCATAATTCGTGACTGTCTTGGATTTCTTCAATGCAGTCATGAGTTTTCTTTCCTCTATCTTGATTTTGGCATATCCAAGGTGATTTTTTCTTAACTAATCTTCTTATCCGTGAGAATTCCAATGAAGCGGTGTCTCGAAAAAAGTTTTGGACCGCCGGTGGAATTCATGTGCTTGATCTTTCTAATTCTACGAAGATACTTGTTGGCATAGCAACCGTCGTTCATTAGTGGTCGCTCTCAGGCGAATAAAACCGAACTGTCGAGAAAGAAAAGACTATCAGTTTGCCTGTGAAAATAATAACCACGTACCAGTGTAGTTTACAGAATAATCTAAATTCAACTTGTGTCAGCTTTGGACGCCGAATGAAATCTGTGACGGGTCTGTTATTCGACGAGTCTTGTCTGCTCCGGTCTTGGAATTGATGAGCTTTTTGTCTTAATATCTTTGGGCTTGAAGTCTGATCTTGTCTTAGGTTTATCTTATTAACGCCCTCGCCGCAACTGTTACGTGCGGGCTTAGATAAAAAGCTATACATTGTCATTTGTCACTAAAGACATCAACTGTTAACACCTTATTTCATACTTAAGCAAATCGGGCTCAAAATCAGGACCGTAGCCAGTCTGAGGCAAACCGAAGCACTTGGCTCAGTCATTTTTTCGTTTCTGTAGTTTCTTT